TTAAAAATTGTTCGTACATTAAAATACATTAAAAATGTTCGTGAGAAAGTGCTGCAAAAAATTTTGATAAAAATAGTTGAAGTAATAAAAAACAAAATATATATTCAAAAGGAAAAAATTTCTGTTTTTAAAAATAAACTTTGAAAAAGTTAAAATATTGAAAAATATATTATTTGCATTTACTGTAATAAAAAAATGGAAGTTTAAGAGAACCAATCACATTCAAGTGCAACGTGTATGTCAAAATGTTACTAATAATTCTTTATCAATAAACAAGTGTACGAATTTGATTGGTTTTTTTCAGATCACGCCACTAATATTCAAAAGGAAAAAATTTCTGTTTTTAAAAATAAACTTTGAAAAAGTTAAAAATATTGAAAAATATATTATTTGCATTTACTGTAATAAAAAAAATGGAAGTTTAAGAGAACCAATCACATTCAAGTGCAACGTGTATGTCAAAATGTTACTAATAATTCTTTATCAATATAAACAAGTGTACGAATTTGATTGGTTTTTTTCAGATCACGCCACTAATATTCAAAAGGAAAAAATTTCTGTTTTTAAAAATAAACTTTGAAAAAGTTAAAAATATTGAAAAATATATTATTTGCATTTACTGTAATAAAAAAAATGGAAGTTTAAGAGAACCAATCACATTCAAGTGCAACGTGTATGTCAAAATGTTACTAATAATTCTTTATCAATATAAACAAGTGTACGAATTTGATTGGTTTTTTTCAGATCACGCCACTAATATTCAAAAGGAAAAAATTTCTGTTTTTAAAAATAAACTTTGAAAAAGTTAAAAATATTGAAAAATATATTATTTGCATTTACTGTAATAAAAAAAATGGAAGTTTAAGAGAACCAATCACATTCAAGTGCAACGTGTATGTCAAAATGTTACTAATAATTCTTTATCAATATAAACAAGTGTACGAATTTGATTGGTTTTTTTCAGATCACGCCACTAAACTATTAAATTTACAAAAATATTGCAAAACGATATGAAGGAGACTTTGAAATTTTTTTAAAAATTTACATATTTTTCAATTTATTTGTAAAAAAATATTTTTAATTAGATCTATTTACAAATTTTAACAAATCTATTTACTACTTATAAAAAGTTATTTTTTCATAAATTAATTTATTTATAAAAAGAAATATAATTATTTACAAAAATTTATTCATTTATTCAATAATAAATTAATCCAATAGATTAATTTGACATGATGGTAAATTATCAAGTTCTCCTTCGAAATAATATATGTTTAAATTAATAAAGTTTTACAAAATAATTCAATTATTTAAACAAAAAATTTAATAAAATTGTATACGCAAACATTTAATTATTTTCATAAATAATAAAAATATCACAGAAATTCGATTATTTACAAAATTTCTAATAAATTTCTTTGCAATATGTAATTCAATTGTTATAAATAATCAAAATGTTTACAGGGATTCAATAATTTTTAATACAATTTTAATCGAATTCGTCGAAAAATGTAATTATTCTTAAAAATTTTATTGAAATTCGTCAAAAGAATTCAATTTTCAGAAACATTCAATTATTCATTATTTATTTTGTATTTGAATAATTAAATTGTCGTAGAATTTTCTAATAAAATTTGATTTAAAAATGAATTTCAAGTATATTTTTAATAATAAATTGAATATTAAAAGCCTTATATCTTGAATTATTTTAGAAATAATTTAATTTTGTGCAAAGTATTTTATTACTTTTCAAAAGAATTGAATTCTTGTGATGAATTTTGATATTTATCAAAATAATTGAATTTTGTAAAAGAATTTTATTAAAATTCCTTATAGAATAATTGATTTTATGGGGAGAATTTATGCGATTTTGTTCTTTATTAGGCTAATTGAATTCTTTTGCAAAATTATTTAAAATAATAATTGTGAAAATAATTGATTTTCTGCGACGAATTAAATGTTATTTATAAAAATATTTGAATTATTGCAACGAATTATATTGTTTTATTGAATAATTGAATGTTTCTTAAAATTGAATTCTTTCCTTAAGTTTTAATAAAATTTTTAATAATAAAGGGCATTTATCCAAGAATTTATTTAAAATTTTATTAAAAATATTTGAAATTCTGCGATTCTGAAAATAATTGAATTCGTAAATGAAATTTTATTATTTATGAAAATAATTGAATTCGTAAATGAAATTTTATTATTTATGAAAATAATTGAATCTTTTCGTAGGAATTGTATCAAAAAGTTTTTTTTTATAAATTAAATTTGTTGATAAATTTTTATGAAAATAGTAAAATATTTACATTAAATTGCGAAAAACTTTTGAATATAATATTGAAATGTTGCAAAGAATTTTATTCAAATTCGTTTAAATTTTTGAAAATTAATTGAATTTTTGGCGAAAAATTTGGCTATTTATAAAAATAATTGAATTGAAAGTTTAAATAATTGAAATTTTGCCAAGTTAATTATGTTTGACAATAATTGAATTCTTGAGAAGAATTTTGATATTTATCAAAATAATTGAATTTTAGAAAAGAAGAAAATTTCATTAAAAATCCTTAAAATAATTGATTTTATGGGAAGAATTTTGTTGGTTATCAAGATAATTGAAATTCTTTTGCAGAATTATTTTTTTAAAAAAATAGGGTATACGTTTAGGGGCCAAAATTTAAAAAAGGGGGACTTTTAGGGAAATAGGGGACAGACCGCTGTGAAGCCTGATAATTTATTAAATATTGAATTATTAGTTAAATAGGTGAAAAATTTAACTATAATTTTAGAAGATTTTGAATTATTAAAATTTTTTAAAAATCTAAGTTCATTAACCCCTTAACTGTTTGAGGAAAATACAACATGATTGTCCCAAAATGCCCAGCGGAATCTGATACTTTTTCAAATAGTATAATATATTTAAATTATAACTAATTATTCAATTATTTTCTAAAATATCATTAATGACCCTTATAATTTCTTATAATATTGATATAAAGAAAAATATCTATCAATTTATATACAAATTATATTTATTTTGAGTGATAGTGAACACGACCCACGGGTGGGTCGGAAACAGTTATGGCCATACTTTTTCACGACCCACCCGTGGGTCGGAAAAAGGCAACGGGTTAAAATTTCTAATTAAATTCATTCAACATTGTAATTTTATTAAATTTCAAATTTCCCATGTCTGAATATATGATTATTTCAATTATAATAATATTAAAACTATATATATTCCAATTTATATTTTATTTTTAGGTATAAAATGAATTTTAAATTAAAAACTAGCAACAAATCGAGCGGCTAACTTCTTACTACCTTTTTAAAATAAAATTTGAAAATTTTCTAATTTAAATTTTTGTTGAAAATACTAAAAAAATTCAATTTTGTAGAATTGAAAAATAATTGCCAAAATTCTTAAAAAGAAAAATTCTTCTTATTAAATTCAACTATGTTCAAATCTTAAAAAAAATTCTCGTAAAAATCCCATTTATCTTTATAAATAAAAAATAACAAAATTCTTCTCCAAAGTATTCAATTATTTTCAGAAATTTTTCTAATTTTAATGATTTTCAATATCTACGATTTTAATAAAATATTTCCCAAAACGAATTCAATTATTTAAAAAAAAATTTAATTTGAAATTTTAGAAAATGACAATTTTGAATGAATGAATTAAATAATAAAAATTTTAGAGAAATTCTATTATTTACAAATTTTTTATAAAAATTTCTTCGCAATAATTCAATTATTTTCATGAAGAATAACATTTTTTTAACCAGAAATTCAATTATTTTCATAAATAATAAAATTCTATAGGTATGAAGGTTTTCAATTATTTTCATAAATAATAAAAATCATCGCAGAATTTCAATTATTTTTGGTACAATGTTAATGGAATTTCTCGAAAAATGTAATTATTTCTTAAAATTTTTATTAAAATTAATTTTCAAAGATTTTAATGAAATAATTTTTAACAATTCGATTTCTTTTCAAAATAATTTGAATTAAAATCTTTGTAGAATTAAATTAATTTCAATAATATCTACTAAAATTTTTCAAAAGAATTTAATTTTTAAAAATTTTATTGAAATTCTGCGCAAACATTTCATTATATTCATAAAATAATTAAAATTTCACAAGGAATTCAATTATTTTCATAAATAATAAAATTTTTGAAGGAATTCAATTATTATTTTCATAAAAAATAATTTAAAATTCTAGAAAATAATAATTAAATTAAAATGATGAAAATTTTGATGAAGTTACAGTAACAATATTCTTATAATGTAAAGTAATGATTTTATCTCTCGGTCATCTTTAATTTATTAGAAAACATGAAGAAATCGATCACTCTGAGTCTTCGACTCGGAGCAATTGATATTTTCATGTTTTATAAACAATAGTTTTATAAGTTGTTTAATTTAAAAAAGGTTTGAATTTTGAATTTTTGAATGTCTTAATTCCTGTGGAAAATCCTGTTCCAAAGATAAGATTAAAATATAAATTGTGCAAATATTTTTCTTCTTTTTCTAAAACAAAATAATAATTTTCTTAAAAAAATTGTGATTCAAAAAGAAAGTTATGGAAAATAAATAAATTTTCTATTTATTAATCACAGTTGTTTAATAATTTTCGAATTTTTTTTAGAAGTAAAGAACAAAAATAATTTCAATTTGACAAAACATAATATTTAACAAAATTTTAGTCTTTTAATGAAAAGAAGTAAAAAAAATTCTGATGATTTCTATTTTCTGTCTAAAGTTAACAAAAAACAAAAGTATAAACAAAAGACAACTTCAGAGTGTGAGGGACAGAAAAAGTGAATGAAAGATTGAAAGAGCATTCAAATTAATATAGTTAATAATTAATAATTAATTTGTTCGTTCTATTATTTTTTAAATTGCTAATTTTATTTTAAAAAAGTGAGCAAGAAGTCAGTCACTAATATTGTTGCTAGTGTTTGTAATGTAAATGATTTCAACACTAAATTGTAAGAAAAATCGTTTTATTATAATTTGTCTTTTACAATAAATAATTTGATATATACTTTCTCAAGTATTCGAATATTAATTAATGACTACAACCATCGAATGGCACATACATAGTATATAATAATTAGTTTTATCAAAATACATAATATTTCATGTATACTAAAAATACCGTTTAGTAAATCTCACTATATGTAGAATGTTGTCTCGATCCAGAGGAAAAAGAAATTTAGAAATTGTAAATATATTTTTTAGTATATAAGTAAAAATAGTATTTAAAATAATTTTCTTTTTTTATAGATTTTAAATTTTATTTCTTTTGTAGATTTTAGAATTCTTTTCTTTTGTAGATTTTAGAATTTATTTCTTTATTGTAGATTTTGTTTGTATTCTTTTCTTTGATGTTACGACTTTAGAGATCAATTAGCCAATAGCATAATCGCAGGATTTAGCGACGTCGATTTCTTGAGCGGCTTTTCGGCAAGCCATTCTCAGCGATTTTGTGTATTTTAGAAGACAGACTTCTTGATCCTCATCGTCGGATGGAAAATCCTCGACATTATAAGATGGAAGACAATCGGTGCCACCAACGGCGACGACTTGTCTCGCAATTTCAGGATCGACGCAAAGTCTCGTGAGCGCTGCTGCTGCTGTTATTTCCAATCTTTGGTATGCATCCTCCAGGCCCGGTGGACGCATCCGAAGGAAGCAGACGAGAGCAACTGATGCTCGAGCCTCAGCGAGATGTTTACGAGCCTCTGGAATTCGAGCCACTTCTCCTATTAGAGATGCGACCTAAAAAAAATACACTCAATAATCAATAAAGAATCAATTTTTTCTATACCTTCCAATCCCAAAATTGAGTGTTTTTTAGCAAACAAAGAAATTCCTCAATTGAGGAATTTGCTAAAACACCCAATTTTGGTGTTGAATTTCAGAACTTGTGCACTGCCAACACAACTCACCTGTTCCATGAGCCAAACATTTCCGCCTGGCGCTTTCTTGACGCACTGCAATAATTTCTTGATCGAGTCCCTCTTCAAGATTTCCCCGACATATGTCCTCGATTTTGAGAGATGATTCAGAGCGGCGGCAGCAAGTAAAAGGGTCTGACTGCAAGCGGTTTTCTCCGCCAATTTTGTCAATGCATCGACAAGTGTCACGGCGAAAGGCTCGAGATGTGAAAGTCCCATTGCATTTGTCCATGGCGCTGTTATTTGTACAACTAATGCTGCAGCTTCCATTTTCTCAGTTTCAGGTCGTAATTCCGTGGCTAAAAGATCGACGAGTATTTCCGGACCATCTTCGTTGACAAATTTTTCAATTGCCTCAGAACAACAGCAAACGCTGGCTAAGGCGCGTAGCGAAGCTGAACGTAAATCGCTACTTAAACGAACTGCCGATATTAATGATGTGAGCAGGGTTCGAACACCCGAACAACGAGCAATACTACTTCCGGCACGTGGTCCAGACATTCCCAAAGCTGTTAATGCGGCGAGTGCACCGCGTGCTGCACTTCCACCTTCTGAAGGCGCCTCCTCCAAGCCGCGTACGACTCTCTGAAAATGGAGAAAAAATTTTCTCTATCAGAATTTTGAACTTTTCTTTTTAAAGAAAAAAATACAAAAAGAAACCAAAAACAAAAAAAAAACAAAAAATGCAAAAAAGAAACAAAAAACAAAAAAATCAAAAAACAATAAAAAAAAACAAAAAAAAACAAAAAAAAACAAAAAAGAAACAAAAAACAACAAAAAATACACAAAAGGAACAAAAAACAAAAAACAATAAAACAAAAAAAAATCAAAAAACAATAAAAAAAAACAAAAAAAAATACAAAAAAGAAACAAAAAGAAACAGAAAACAACAAAAAAGAAAAAAAACAAAAACAAAATAAAAAAAAAATAAAAAAAAACAAAAAAAAATAAAAAAAAAAGAAACAAAAAACAAAAAAAATCAAAAAATAATAAAAAAATACAAAAAAGAAACAAAAAACAACAAAAAAGAAAAAAAACAACAAAAAATACAAAAAAGAAACAAAAAAAATCAAAAAACAATAAAAAAAAAGCAAAAAAAACAAAAAAGAAACAAAAAACAACAAAAAAGAAAAAAAAATCAAAAAACAATAGAAAAAACAAAAAAAATCAAAAAACAATAAAAAAAAACAAAAAAAAAACAAAAAATACAAAAAAGAAACAAAAAAATCAAAAAAACAAAAACAAAAACAGAAAAAATACAAAAAAGAAAAAAAACCAAAAAAAATAAAAAAAACAAAAAAAATTCATGCTTTGTACTCGATAATTAATTTTAAAAAAAGTAGATTAATAAAGACAGAAAACCAAATATTGTAAAAAAGTAGCTATATCGAAAAATTGAACTTGTCGACACGATTTTTTTTAAATTTCTTATTTACATTCAAAAATAGAAAAAATTTTTAAAAATAAATATTTAAATACCTAGGACCTAGGTATTTATTTTGTCTACAGGAAATAAATTATAAGCTTCGCACTCATTTACTAAAACCTACTATTTACTACTTTTTTTACATTATGCTACTATTTGGATACTTTTTTTTTAGTTTTCAGCCACTAAAAGCTACTATTTCTGTTTTTTTTTAGAATTTACTTTTTAAATTCGCCAATACTATCAATAAAAAAACTATATTCTCAAAAAATATAATCAAATTTTTTAAAACAATTCAATTATTCTCAAAAAATATTCGAAATTCAATTATTTTCAATGTCTACTATTTTCATAAAATTTCGCAAAAGAATTCAATTATTTTAAAAAAAAAAAAAAAAAAAAAAAAATTGATCAAATTCATCCAAAATTCAATTATTTTCACGAATATAATAAAATTTCCACTGGAATTCAATTATAATTTAGAATAGCATTTTCAAAGAAATTTCGAAAAAAATCAATTATTTTACAAAATTTTTATACAATTTATTTACAATAATTCAAATACTTTCACTAATAATAACATTTTTCATGAAAATTCAATTTTTTAAAAAAATTTTCGATAAAATTTTAAGCAAGAATTCAATTATTTTCATAAATGAAATAATACTCATCGAAGAATTTTAATTATTTTTAATACTATTTTAAATTAATTCATCGAAAAATTCAATTATTTTCACAAATAAAGTTTTCCACTTAAGAATTCAATTATTTAAAATAAAATTTTCATAATATTTATTATATTTCGAAAAAATTAATTATTTAAAACAATGTTTATAAAATTCTTATGAAGAATTCAATTATTTTTAAAAATAACAAAATTTTTCACAGGGATTCAATTTTTTTAAAATTTTTTAGTAACAATTCAATTATTTTCATAAATAATAAAATTATTTTCAGGAATTCAAATATTTTTAATAATTTTTATAAAATTCTTAGCAACTGTTCAATTATTTTTAATACAATTTTACAGGAATTGCTCAAAAAATTGTAATTACTTTTAAAAATTTTAATTTCAATTCCTCGAAAGAATCAATTATTTAAAAAAAATATTTTTTTAAGTTCTTTGAAAGAATTCAATTATTTTCAAATGTTTTAATGAAATTGTTCGAAAGAAGTCAATTACATATTTTAAATACAATTTAAATTAAATGTTTTCGTAAGAATTCAAATTATAACAAAATTATTCCCGAAAATTCAATTATTTTGAGGCATTTTAATAAAATTCTTTGCAAAATTCAATTATTTTTAAAAGTAATAAATTTCTTCTTAAAAATCCAACTATTTAAAAAAATTATATTAAAATCGTTCGCATTATTTCAATTATGTAATAAAATGCTTCTTAGGAAATAGGAATTCAATTATTTCCAAAAAAAATTTAATAAAATTATTGTCAAAAATTTTAATAGAATTCTTTGTAAAATTTAATTATTTTTAAAAACTTTTCCTAATTCAATGTTTTTCAATATTAACTATTTTCATAAAATTTCCACACAGAATTTAATTATTTAAAAAATTTTTTTGTAAAAATCTTCGTAATAATTCAATTCTTTTCTTAAATAATAAAAATTTCTCAAGGAATTCAATTATTTAAAATAGAATTTACATAAAATTATTCGAAAGAAATCAATTATTTAAAATTTTTTTATAAAATTCATAGCAAGAATTTTAAATTATTTTTAAAAATAATTTCTAAATAAAATTATTCAAAACTTTAATCATTTTATTTTATTCAATTCTAAATCAATTCTACGAGAATTCAATTATTTAAATACAAAAATAAATAATTTATTGAATAATTGAATATTTCTTAAATATAGAATTAAATTAAATTACAAATCTTGAATTAAAAAACTTTATTATCATTTTTTAAAATATAATTGAATGTTAAAAATAATTAAAATCCTGCGATGAGTTTTATAATATTTATGAAAATAATTGAATTTTTGTCACCGAACTACAGTAAAGTTTTTTTTTTCTTTGAAAATTGTATATTAATAATGAAAATAATTGAATTTTTATAAAAACTTTATTAAAATTATATTGAAATCAATTTAATTATTATAAAAAATTTCATTAACATTTTTTTTTGTTGAAACAATTGAATTCTTTTAAAGAATTTTATTAAAATTATATTAAAAACAATTTAATTATTATAAAAAATTTCATTAAATTTTTTTTTTTTGAAATAATTGCATTTTTTAAAAGAATTTTATTAAAAATTTTTAAGAATAGTTGCGTTTTTTGCGGAATGCATTTAAAATTGTATTAAAAATAATTGAAATCCTGCGATTGTTATTAAAATTTATAAATATAATTGAATTCTTGCAACGATTGTTATTAAAATTTATAAAAATAATTGAATTCTTGCGACGAATTTTATAAAAATCTATTTAAATGATTGATTTTTTTCGAAAAATATTAGGAATATTCTGTTTTAAATAAAATTTAATTCCTGAGAAAATGTTTTTATTTAAATTAAAATAATTGAATGTTTGCGAAGAATTTTATAAAAAAAAATTTTTTTTTCAAATTATTTAATTCTTTTGGGAAATTTTTTATTGAAATAGTAGATATTAAAAATCATTAAATTTACGAAAAATTTGTGATAATAATTGAATCTTTTTAAAATTTTTTGAATTTTATGACAATAAGTTTATTAAAAAAAAATTTTTTTTAAATAATTTTTTTATTTAAACTGTTAACAAATTTAAAGTATAGTATATGTAATTTCTCAAACATGGAAAAAAAAGTATATCTTTTAGTGTAACAAATATAAAAAAGTATCCAAATAGTAGTCAATAAAATTTCCTCAACAAAAATTGTTTGAAGTCTTTTTTTTTATTAAAAAAAAAAAATTGAAATTTTTTTCAAAACAATGGAAAAACTTACTTCAACATAAAAGTCCAGTCTTGTATTGAGGGCAGTGTCCACGACATCTTTAAGATTTTCCAATTGAGCGATAATACTTCTAAGACTTCCCTGGTGAATTCTTCGCGGTGGAGGTGCTCCGAGGTCCGACAAAACAGAAAAAGCATCTTCTTCTATTGCTTGCAATAATTCCGTTTCCGATCTTGCACTCGACAAGTGGGAAATTTTGCTAAAAGCGAAAAAGAAATTTTATTTTATCTTGAATCGTAGTTAAACAAAGAATATTGAAACTATTTGATTTTAACTTCAAAAAAATATTTATTAAATTTAATTATGTGTTGAAGTTAACAATCACTCCAAGTCAAGACAATTTTTTTTTTTTTTTTTTTTTTTTTTTTTTTAATTCTGGTTTATTCAATAAAAAAAATATATCATATTTAAAAAAAAAATTAAAAATAGTCGAGACTTCATATACTTTGAAATTAAGCAACAATGAATTTCGATTCTTAAAAAGTTTCAAGGTGAAAATAAATAAAATATTTATATTAAAAATCAAAAAGAATATAAAAATGAAAAATAATGAAACTCACTCGAAAACTGTTTGATAATTTTGTTCGAATTTTTCAGCTCGCAATAATAATTTGGTGGCGGCGGTTGTAGCCGAGGCAGTCAACATCTTCAGGTCCCTCGTTTGTAATTCCTCTGTACTCAAGTCCTCAATTTTTCTCCTCGGCAGTGCTTTACTTTGTAGGGCAACGCCACATTCCTCATCAACTTCCTGCGCCAAATTTAATAACCAGGCATTTACAGGTGCAAATTGTTGAAAATGCAAGCGAGTTGCATTTCTCCTCGTGTCACTCGTTTCAATAAATGACCTCGAGCCGGAACTGGAAGTTGAGGGTATTGAATCCTCCGGTGGTTCCGTTGCAAATAAATAATCGCCCAATGACGATGAATCCATCGATGGATATTTCGACGTCTCTTCATCTTCTTCTCTGTAAAGGAAAAAAAAAAACATTATTAAACATGAAAAAAAAAAAATTATTTAAAATAAATTAAAATATAATATATTTTTATATACTTAAATATTTAATAATTGAATATTTAAATATTTAATAATTAATAATTAAATATTTAAATATTAAATATTTAAAAATATTAAATATTTAAAAATATTATATTTTAATTATTTTGAATTAAATAAACTTTGCTATTGTAATTATTTATTTTAACCCCTTAACTGCGGATTACGAAAATTTTGTCCGTCAAATCTTCGTCATTGTAGTTAAGGGGTTAAATGATTATTATTTGCCTTAATTGTTTTAAAATATATGTTTGTATTGACAAGAATAATATTTGTAAGGTTTAGGATATAAGTATTTTTTCTTTATTATTATTATTTAATTTCGTGCGTCAGAAAATGTTGCCCATGAATTTTTTAACATTTTCTATTAAATCTTTCAAAAATAAAAATTTTACAAATATGTAAAATTTTTTAAAATTATTTTCATTGTTTTTTTTTTTTTGCTTATTTTTTTATTTTTTATTTATATCTATATTTTTATTTTTTCAATTTTTAAGGGCATTTGAGCCATTATGACTTTACAGTTTTTGCAAAGCATATAATGTGTTATAAAGCAGTGATGTCATAATGGTACAAGTGCCCTTAATTTATTTTTTTTTTCTTTTATTATTTTTATTATTCATTTTTTATTATTTTTTCTATTATCTATTTTTATTATTTATTATTATTTTTATTTAATAGTTGAGTGATAAACTACAATTATAATATTAATAAATTAACATTGATAAATAAAAAAAATTATTAATAGGTAGTCATTAATTTAAAATTTAAACAAATTTACGAAAAGTGAATTTATCAAAAAGTATTTGAAAAGTTCTTAATTTTTTTTTTTTTTTTTTTTTTTTTTTTTTTTTTTTTAATAAAATAAAAATATAAATAAATTTCTTAATTCAAGTTGTTAAAATTTTCTTTTAAATTTGAATTAAAATATTCTTTAAATTTATTATCTTTTTGTATTTTTCTTTTTTGTTAATTTGATTCCTTTTTATTTTTTCTTTCTTCGGCTTTTTTGTTTAGTTTTTTATTATTTTTTTTTGGTTTTATTTTTGCTTTATTTATTTTTATTTATTTTGTATTGTTTTGTTTTTATTCTTTAAATATTTCGGTTTCTTTTTGGATTATAGAATTTTTTTTCTTTTCTTCTTTGGTTTTTTTGTTTTTTTCTTTTTGTTTACTTTCTTTTTTGATTTTTTTGTTTTTTTCTTGTTGTTTACTTTCTTTTTTGATTTTTTTGTTTCTTCATTTTCTTATATGTTTTATTTTGTTTCCTGATCGTTTTTTTTTATTTTGGTTTTTACATCTTTTTGGTTTGTTCCATTTTTAATTATTTCTTTTTTTTTGCTTTTTCTTTTGTTATTTTGATTATTTTTACTTCTTTTTTAATTTTTTGGTTTCATTTTTGTTTTTTCTTTGGTTAATTTTGGTTTCCTTCCTCATTGTTGACTTTTTTTCCTTTTTAATTTTTTTTTTCTTTTGTATATTTTTAATATAGTTTTAGTTTTCTTCTTTAACTTTTTTAGTTTCTGTTTTGATTTTTGACAATTTTTTTTTCTTTTCTTTCTTTTTTGCTTTTTTTTGGTTTTTCTTTTTTGTTTTGTTTCTTTTCAAAGTTTTTTCTTTGGCTTCTTCTTTTTTCTATGTTTTGTTTTTTCTTTTATCTTTTTATATTTATTTCTGTTTCATTTTTGCTTTTTTCTTTGGTTATTTTTTTTTTTGTTTTCCTTTTTGATTTTTGGCTTTTTTCTTTGGTATTTTTGGTGTTTTTGATTTGTTTTGTTTCTTATTTTAAACCTTTTTCGTTTCCTTTTTGGTTTTCGGTTTCTTTTGTCTTCTGTTTTGTTTTTTTTTGTCTTTTTAAAATTTTTTTTTAATTTTAAATTTTTTCTTTTTTGTTTTTTTCTGTTTTATGCTTTTATTTTACTTTATTTTTGTTATTATTAATTTTTTCCTGTTTTCTTTATATGAAAAACATTGAAATGTGACAAAAGTAGAGAAATGTTTCATTTTTTAAAGCACCTTAACTGGGCCATTTGAGATGATAATTTAATTTTTCTTTTTTTTTAAATTCGTATTGTACTTCATGAAAGCTGTATTACTACTGAAGAACAGGAAACTATTATATTGCACTTAGTGCTTTATTTTTTTTTTTTTAACTATTCTCACGAGGTTTTGCGATTGGCTAACAATAGAAGCTAGCACGTGTGCTCTGACTAATAGTGCGCCTCTGGTTCTTGAATTTATAATCTCGGATAGTTGTGTGACTAAACTCTGATTTCTCATTCCTTTGCATCCACACCTGCATTGAGTTTCAGAAAATTCCTACAACATTTGCTGCTGGACTTATTTCTAATCTTTTTCTCTCTCTCTCTTTTTTTTTTTTTTTTTTTTTTTTTTTTTGTTAAACATATAAATGATGCTTAACTTATTCAATTCTTAAATGCGCCATGAATACTGAGTAAGTTGCAACTTGACGACATAATCAGAATCTTGAAACATTTTTTGTTCCTTTTTTTCTAATCATTTTTTAAAAATAAATATTAATAATAAAATTCAAATAAACATTTTTTCATTATTTCTCCTTTGTTTTTTGCTTCTCTACTATTAACATATATTTAAATATAATAATTAAAATTTGTACCTAATAAATAATTTTTTAAATTTTGCATTTATGCAGAATAGTTACTTTTGCAAATTTTTATGGAAAAATGATAATTCTTCTTTGAATATAATTATAGTATTGTATTAATTTATTATCGCTTTTATTATATAATAATATATAAAATGTTAAATTAAAATTTTTTGAAAAATTCCAAAAAGAAATAAAACAAAAGTTTTTTCATAACTTTTAACAAATGAGAAGCATATCATGGTAATGTGTCTAAACTTGTAAAGTAATTAGTAAAATAATGTAGAAAGTTTAAAATGCTTTTAAATACCTTATTAAGAATATTTCTTTCACTTTCAATGAAAATGAAATTTTAATGACCTTTATAATGACTTTTATGTAATATACTTTTCCATTTTTAACCTTTACTTGATTTTTATTTTTTTTTTCTTTGATTCTAAAAAAATATAAAATATATTTAGGATAAAATTAAAAATAGAAATAGTTTAAGTTTTTGTTATTTGAATAATAGTTAAAAATTTTTACCTCTGTAATTATATAATAATATAACAAATCTGATTTAGAAAAGAATATAAATAATTCACTAGTTTCAAAATTTTGAAAGTGAAAAATAATAAAAATTATTTTTTTAAAGTGATCACTATTGACCGATTTAAAAAAAATATTATCTACTTATGTTTAAGTTTTTAAAATCCTCAAAATTTTCCATATCAAATTTAAATATATTATAATGTACCTCTCAAATATTCTATGTAAGATTAGAAAGTTAAAAAAATTTGTTTTATAATAGAATGAATAAATTTTTTAAAACTCACATAAAGAATTTTTTATAATAATTGTCATAACAATAATAACAAAAAGTATAATAATAAATAAATATAATTAGGTACTAAAATTAAAGTAACAAAAGTAGAATATAAATAACAATAATAATGATAATAATAATAATAATAATAATAATAATAATAATAATAATAATTAAAATATAATTGTTATTAACATTCACTAAATTTTTAATTTATTCATTTAAAAAAAATTTTTTTTCAAATTGTTATAGAATTCTTTACGTTATTTTTTAAAATTATTTCTTTAGCAATTTTATGAATCACACAAAATGATCATATCCTCTGATTCATATAATAACTTGGTGATTCGTATTATTTATTCGCTTCGCCTTTCAATGCTAATTGCTTTATTTTACACTTTAATTGATGAAAGAAAATGAATCATTCTTCGATTGAAAATTTTAATTTTTAGACTTTTGCCTGTATCGTATAGATATTGTTATAAAAATTTTCTAATATTCAATTTTAATGTTTACTATATTTATTATTTTAAATATGAATTTTTTCAAAATTAACGTTTTATTTATTATTATATTTTTTATTTTTATTATTATTATTATTCTTATTCTTTTTATTATTATTATCATTATTTTTATTAATTTTATAATTCTATTTTTATTATCAATATTATTAATATTTTTATTAATTTTGAATTATTTTTATTATTTTGGAATTATTTTTATTATTTTTGAACACTATTTTTATTATTTTTTGCATTTCAATTTATTTACTTTCTATTTTCTAATTTTTTTAATTTTCACTATTTTTAACGCTTTAACTTTTTTTTTTATCAAAACAAACAAATTTTTCATTCAATTAACTCAAAAAAATTTTTTTTTAAACTTTTCTTTTCAAGAAGAAGAAGAAGAAGAAAAAAAAGTTAATTATGTGTTAAAATTCTTTTCAATGTTTGTAACAAAAGAAAAAAAAAAGAAATAGAGATAAGCGAAGATATGATAAATAGAATTTGTAACAATAGTAAAAAAAAGAGGATTATGTAAAAAAACGAAATCATCTCTAGAGCCTGTTTATTATTTTTTTAACAAATAATAACCGTTACTTTTTTTTTGATGACTAAATAAGGTTTCAGAAACTAGAAACTACATTTGAGTGTCAATGAATAATAATAAAAGAAATAATAATAATAATGATGTGTGCTGCTGCTTCGAGTTTGAAAATTGACAAATTGAGTGGTTCCAAACGTAAATGCCGCAAGTTCCCATATAGCGCACAATGCCATTCCCAAACAATTTGTATGCAAACACGTGATTAGCGTGTCAATATTCCAAACTCAGAGTGTACGCACATACATAACAATGGGTCTTGTACGAGGGCAAGATACACACTGCTTAACGAGTCAAGAATGCATTATCACACATGCGTCTACAATTTTTTTTTTATTTTCTCATTTTATTTTTCTAATAATTTATTTTAATATATAGAAAATTATTTTTCAATTAAAAAAAATTTTTTTTTAAAAACTTTTCTTTTTTAAAAAATTTTGTTATAAACAAAATTATTTTTATTAGAACAAAAAAATTATTTTTTGTAATACAACTGTTGAAATATTTTTATCTAAATTTTCCCCTCTTGACCTTAATTTATAGTTTTGTAAGCCTCTTAAACCTCTTAAATCTTCTACATTTGATTTGCATTTCTTTGGGTTTCTTTCATTATCTATTGTCCAGTGCCTTTGACCTAAAATTTAAGTTTATTTTCTTGACCTGCAATTTTTTATTTAATTCTGAATTTTGACATTTATAGATTTTTAAAATATTGCTCTTTTTTTTTATCTAAATGTTTCATGTTCAAAACGAGTTTTTAAAATTGTGTTCGTATTTTAACCTACAATTTTTTTATGTTGTATTCGATGCTTAACATTTTTTTAAAATTTAATAAATCCTAATCATCCTAATCATATTTTTTACATTTCTCTCATCCTTTAACCTAAAAATTAAAAAAAAAAAAATTTTTAATCTTTTGATCTTCCATTAATATTAATTTACCGATGGTTTTTGCATTAATTTCACGCAACAATGTTGTAACGCTTATTATAAAACTTTAAATAATAATAATAATACTGAATACGACGGAAGTGTTTAACATGACGCATTCTTTTAACGTTTAGCGTAGCTCATTCACAAGTGAATTTTATCGCGCATACGATGAGTTTCTCTCAAGACTATTGTATTCCCTCATGGACAGATAAAAACGTCTGTGATAACCCCATATTGTTATTATAACAATATTGCGAATTTATTTTTTTCCAAGTATCTTAATCATCTCTCCTTTTTCTTCAAGGTGCGCTTATTATTCTCAACACTCTTTGTTTTTTTTTTCTTTTTCAAGTTTTAAAATAAATCATTTTCTTAAAAATTATTTCAAAAATTTTTTAACCCACTTTCAGAACATTTTATTTTTAATAAAACAGTTATAAATTAAAAAAAAAATAGAATTTTTTTTTAAAGTTTTAAAATAAATTATTTTGTTTAACATTATTTGAAAAGAAATTTTTTAAACGAATTTCAGAACATTTTTTAATAATAAAACAGTAAAATTTAAAAAAAAGTAGAATTTTTTTTCAAGTTTTAAAATAAATTATTTTGTTAAAAATTATTTAAACAAAATTTAGAACACTTTGTTTTTAATTAAACAAGTTAAGCCGTTAAAAAATAAAATTCACTTAAATTTAGTTGAAGAAAAATGATTTTTAACTCTTTCGGCCAACAGGTTAGCCGAAATATTAAAAGTGACTATAATTTCGATTAAAATTCATTCTGAAAAATTTTACTATTACATCAACTATAAAAAAATGGAAACAAAAATTAATAATATACGATACTTTACAAAAATTAATTTTTTTGATAATAAAAGTAAAAAATAATTTACATAATGACTTAATACCTGACGCATTATTACAATAAATATAGTCTAATAATAAAGTTCATTGACGGAAATGTGTCACCTTATCGTAAATAGAAAACAAATATTTAACTTTTTCTCGCAAGAGTGAAAAACACCTTTTGAATCATGCACTATATCGATGATGATGATGATAATAATAATAATAATCAATTATTGATAAGAAACATGTATAACAAATACTTTGAGATTAAAGGGCTCGAAAAAATATAGATCTTTAATTCTCACTTGTATCTATGTTATTGATCAAGAACTAAATTTATTATAAAAAATTATTTTCTACTTCTTATTATTTTACTTTATTTTTTTAATTTTTTGGTTTTTATATTTGTTTAATTAATTTTTATTTTTTTTAATTTTAATTTTTTTTTAATTTTAATTTTTTTTAAATTTTTTAATGTTTTATTCATATTTTTTACATGCTTTATTTTGTTTATTTTACATAAAGTTATTTATTTCTTCAAAATTTATTAATTTTTTTTACTAATTTTTTTATATTTTTTAATTTTTTTGTTTATTTACTGTTTTATTATTATTATTTTTTTATTTTTATTATTATTATTGTTGTATCATTACCATAATTGATTTTAAATCCATAATTTAAAATTTATGTATCGCGAAAAAATACTATTTTACATAATTCGGCTATCTTAGCCGTATACATTTAAATTAACTGTAATTCTCAATCTATCGACAAAAATCGTTTTTTTAAATATTTTTATAATTTAATAACTATAATAAAAGGTTATTATTTTTCATACAGACTTTAAAGATCAAGGAAATGCCTTTTTCGGTCGATTCGGCTATATCTTGTCCGATACATTTAAATTGACTGCAATTTTAAATTATTCAAAAATTTTTCAAAAATTTTTTTTTACTGTCATTATAATTTAAGAAACGTTATTTATAACATTATTTTAAAAAACTTTATTTCTCATTTGGAAATTAAAACTGAAAAAATTCTTTTTTTTAATTTAATAGTCATAAAATTAACCCATTTTTTAAAAATACAATTTAAACACCCGGTACATGGAATAAAATGCTAATTGTTAAATCATTATAATTTAAAAGAAAAAAAAAGGAAAATAATTATTACCTTTCGTGATGTGATTGTTCCCATGTTGTATTCAATGGAGATTCCAATATTTGAGCACTGAATCTCGGCAATAATCTCTTTGGCGTTGAATGATGTGAGGGATATGGCGGTGCCTCGTTATCCCTCCAAAGGGAGTTTAGTCTGTGATTTCTGGGACGTTTCTGTCGTGATTGTCGATTTTTAACCCTTCTTCTTCTTGCCGCTGAAATTCCCACTTCCGCACATGAACTGTCAGAGTCGGAAAATCCCGAATCCAAACTCTTGTGACCGAGACTCGCTGGACTGTATGATCTCTCCTCACCGGAAACAACATTTCCCAACAATCTCTCACTTATTGCTGAATTATTACTAAAAAAGGGAAAAAAAAATTTTTTTTTTAAATTTAAAAAAAAAGTTTATAAAATAATTATTATTTATTAGAAAATTGTTACTTTTTAAAACAATTATATGATTTACTTATAAATTTACATAAAAATATATTTATTTTCTCTAAAATTTATTTTTAAATCAATTATTTTTTGCTTTTTTAATAAAATTCAACATCGGATTATCAAAATTCAAAATGGTGGATCCAATATGGCGAACACTTTTCATAAAATTCGCCCAAATCACTTGAATAAGTTACTTTAATGGTTTTCGAGGTTGCCGATTTCGAATCTGATATTAGTTTATCAAAATTCAAAATGGCGGATTCAATATGGCGAAGATTTAAAAAAAAAATTGTCAAATTCACTTAAAATAAGATACTCGGAGGGTTTTCGAGGTCATTGATTACGAATTTAAAGTCAAATTTGCAAAAATCAAAATGGCGGATCCAATGTGGCGGAATTTATTTTTAAACAAATTTGTTTTTTCAATTTCCAACAAATTTACTCGAAAAAAAAAATAAATCATCAATGTTTTAAGTATAAAAAAAGCATGGAAAAAAAATTGTCAAATATACTTTTTTTTGATAAAGAAAAAAATTTTTGTATATATAATTATGAAAAATAGGGTAGAAAAAAAATTTTTTTTTCTTCATCTAACCCTATGATTAATATAATATATTGATTTTAGAAAAAACAAAAATAAAGAATATTGAATTCTCACCCCTCTGACGCTTGACTAGATTCGTTACTTTGAGATATGGGCTCCACTCTAATAACCGTCACATTACTAACATCTGTCGTTGTATCGTTCTCATCATCATAGTCATTGAAATTTGACGAATTTTCAGAATCAATTCGAATTGACAATGTCCTTGGACTTTGTGTCACATCAATTATTTGAGAATTATTCAATGTATTGTCCGAATATGAAAATGAACATTTGCCATTTAAATCCTGTGTGGCCATTTGATTCCAAAAAACCCGACTTTGCCTTCTCTTGAAACCACTCATTTTTGCTTTTTTTTAAATCACTTTTTTCACTACACGAACTGCTTTTTCATTATTTTTCACTCTTCTTTCTTGTTTGAAATTTTTGTCTCTGTATTTTTTTTTTGAATTTTGAAGAAAATTTTTCGTTTCACTCAAAATTTTTGTTTTTATTTTTGTTTTTATTTTATTTTAAAATTTTTATAATTTTTTGGGGTTGAATAATAATAGATTTTTTGTTGTCTTTATTTTCACTGTCACTTCACAATTTTTTTTTCTGTTATTTTTAGCATTTTTTTCGGGTGATTTTCGTATAGGATTGAAAGTGAAAGGAAATGTGAGTTTTTCCGGGAGATTCTCACAAAACGAACCGCTGTTGAAGACCAACGAGGATGCTCTGAAATGTTGAGGGTGGTTTATAGAATCAGTAGAGCGTGCTGACCCTCCCACCAGTCGCGTGCCCCAACACACCTTATGGCACTCGTCCTTAACCCCCCAGGTAAGGCCCACACGAACAGGAAGACTCCTTATAGCACTCAACAGTTTCTTAAACTTATTTTCACTTTCTTGATGCCTTTAAAAATATATATTTTAAAAATATTTTTTTTCACAATTTTTCTCATAAATAGTTATTTTTAATTTTTTAAAAATTTTAATTAATTAAAAATATAATTTTTAAAATTTTATTCATATAATTTTAATACTTTTAATTTTATTTTACTTTTATCCTTGTTTTTTTCAATTTTATTTATTTAAACCGCATTTTTTCAATTTCGTTTATTTATATTATTTTTTAAAATTTTATTTATCTCTTTTATCGTTTTTTCACTTTATTTAATTTTTTTTTTTTTTTTTTTTTTTTTTTTAAGATTGTCACTTACTTCACTTTCAGCCTCGAATATCAGGAAAAATGTTTAATAATCACATTTTTGAAATAAATTAATATTTTTTATTAGTTTATTGTTTACTAATTAATTACCAGTTCTAATAATCGTTCATATAATTAAAATTAACATTTTTGTTTGTAATAATTACAAATTAAAAAAAGAATTTAAACATATTTAAAAAAAAAATTTTTTAATTATAAATTCCATACATTTATAATTTTATAATTGTTTATAATTATTTGCTCTTTTATAATAAAAAATAGTATAAACAATTAAATTTGTTTAAACAATGAATAAAAAATGTGTATACATGTATAGAAAGCAAAAATTGTTTTTCAATGACACTGTGTGATTAAAGTTTTGAAATTCCAATTCGATTACAAATATAAAATATATTATGTGTATACGTAAACGAGTATATCGCGGATCGGAATTCAAAGGTGACTAAACATATCACAACTCAGTGAGCGACTGTCGAAGAATTGCTTCCGACTTCCTAACGTCGTCTCCTCCCCACGACACTAAGCCAACTCCGGCTGCTGTATACTATTTAAAAATGACTGCACTTTATGTAGGTATACCCTACGACCTTATGGAGGGACGCAAATATTCACATATTGTAAAGAAAACAAATTTCAATTCAATCCTTTTTTCTTTTATAAAATTTAATCAAATTTTCAGTGTTTTTTTACTTTTTATTGTATTTATAATGAATTTATAAAAATTTGAGCAAACAACATTTTTTTATTTTATTATTTTTAGTTTTCATTCTTAAAAAAAAATGATAAAACATTGATAAACAATCTTTAAAGAGTGAAAAATGTTGTATTAATATTAATAATTAAAATAATTAAAACAATAATAAAAGTTAAAATAATACCTTATGATAATATAATAATAATAATAATTGTTAACTTGTTAACTTCTTCCACTTTCAATAATAATTATCATTATAGTAATAAATATTTAATATTAACATCTTTTTTTTAATCAAAAAGGAAAATAATTTGTATAATTTATTATTTTGTAATATAAAAATTTTATAATAATTTACATTGAATACTAAATATTGTATAAAACGAGGAATAATATAGAGTATTAGTAAAAAAAATTATAATTTTTTTTTTATAATTATATTAAAATTTTTATAATAATTTACATTAAATACTCAACATTGTATAAAACGAAGAATAATACAGAGTAGTGTTAAAAAAATTAACATCAATGAAAACTACAATGAACATAAAAAAATTTTTTTTTTATTTTAGATCTATTTTATACATAATATAATAACTATAAATATTATAATTAATTAAGACGCGTTTTAAAGAAAGGTACCTACCTAAAAAGAAAATCATTTTAATGTTTGCATTATTTTCACTTTAATTAAAAATTTTTGTTTAATTATATATAAACCTAAAATCAGTGTTTTTTTATTATTTGAGTTTTATTTATATGAAAAAAAATTTAAATGATAAAAAATAATAATAATAATAATAATAATAATAATAATAATAATAATAATACATAATAATAATATAAGTACCTAATAATTTAACAAAAATAATTCTTTAAAATTTTTATTAGAAAAAGATAATAAAAAAGTCAGAGTTTTCATTAACAAAGAGAATAAGTTAAATTTCGACATCCCTAAGAATTGAGAGAGAGAGAAAAACATTTTTATATATATATATATATATAGACTAGTTTGGCATGTGCCTCGTAACCGACAAACCGAAACTAGTGATGTGCTCCTCCCCATTTTAGGGTGCAGCATTCCCCCCCCCCTTTTTTTTCGAAAAATAGGGTCCTGTGTGTGATGTAGATTTCAAAGGCATAGAGGGAGGGGAAATCATTGGCAGAGTCACGTGAACTGGTCCATTTAAACTTTAAATATCAAGAAAAAAAATATTTCTACATTTAAATTTTCATTTTGCTTCTGCATTTATATAAAGTAATTTAAAAATAAAAAAACATTTTTTTTTAAATTTAAGTTGTTTAAAGGAGGGGGGGGGGGTTTAAGGTTAATTGGATGAAGAAAGGCCTGTTTTTTAATAATTTTTTTTATCGAGACAAAGAAAATGTTAGTATATTCAACCAATTAAATTTGAATAAATACTAATAATTATTAAAAATATATAAATAATTATCATTATTATTATATATTATATTAATGTAATTTTATATTAGTGGCTGGAGTTGAATATTATAATTTGAGGATGGAAGAGGCGATGAATGCCGACGCATAGTTAGGGATAGGAAAATCACGCCAATGGCCCTTGAGCGCCAGGTGTTGGTTGGAACCCCCGTTGAGGCAGCTTTCCGTATAATGTTTCCATGTCTGTGGGGATATGTGGACGCTTCAAACACCCCCTCTGTCCCTTCACTTATTTTTGTGTACCGAGGCACGCGCCACCCGTCGCATCTGCGTTAAAATGCTCAAACCGAGCCGTGCGTCATATAATCATATGTACAATTATTTTTGTCTCCCATTTACACATTTTTCCACATAGAGGGAATAATATTAATTAACACAAATACTTTTTGTTAAGTAATACTGAAACACAATTTTATTTACGTTCTCATTTTTACATTCTCATCATAATTGCGATGATACCTACTGGATATATATTACAAAAAAAATTATTAATATTTATTAATTAATATTTTTAATTTCTAATTCAAAATTTATTATTTTTAAGATAGAATTTTTTTATTGTAATTTATTTAAAAAATATTTTCTTTTTATTGGACAAGAAAAAATTGCGTTCTCACAGTCCCATATGGTCTAGTGGCTAGGATACCAAAAGCAAAAAGGATGAAAACGTCTAACCAAACAAGTGAGCCGGTAAAGAGGACCGCCAAAACACCGACAAAAAACTCTCAAACACCAAAAGGTAATAGAAGCAGCCAGCAGAGGGAGCCAAAGAAAAACTCCAAACAAACTAGCGACACCTATAACAAAAACGACAACTCAAGTGAAAAAGTAAACAACAAAAATGGCGAGCAGTCAAAATTTGCCTCTCCAAATAAGTTCGAAATATTGTCTACATTAACAAATGATCAAAACGATGGAAAAATAACTGAAACTCCTGGACCCAATCGCCAACAACAAATAACAGGGAAAAATCTACAAAATCATTTCAACAACGAACAAAAAGATGGTGCCAGCGTGATAGACGAAAACATGGACTTCGAATCTGAAGAAGAGGACGACATTGACGGTGAAAAACAAAATAAACACAAGGAAAAAGGTAAAACAGTAAATGCGAAAAATCCACCAATGTATTTATTTGGTATTAACACCAAAACTGCGATAGAAATAATCAGCTCCATTACAGGTAATAAAAATTTTTCTTTAAAATCGTTGGGTAATAACAAACTAGAATTAAAACTCGAAAACAAAAATGACTTCCATACAGTTTTTAATGTACTAAAAGAAAAAAAAATAGAAGTGTTCACTCGCGCTCCTAAAGAGGAGAAAATATTGTCTTTCTTATTAAAGGGAATAGATGGCGATTTTTCGGAAAACGAAATAAACTCCGAACTTAAAGAATTAAATATCGATCAAGTGGATATAATTAAAGTAAAAAAAATTAATACGAAAGAATTCTTTAAAGCTAAAAGAGGGGGGGACGCGTTCCTAGTACAAACTACTGGTAAAAGTAAAATCGGAAATTTATTAAAAATAAAAAAATTAGCTTACCAAAAAATTAAATGGGAAAGAATTAGACGAAAAAATAGCGTTCAATGTTGGAACTGTCAACGACTAGGACATGTGGCGAAATTTTGCGGAAGGCCATTTAGGTGTGTAAAATGTCCAAACGAACACAAACCAGGTGAATGTACCATTGTTAATCAATCCGATGATGTTTTTTGTATAAACTGTAACAAACCCGGCCACCCTGCTTCCTTCAGAGGCTGTCCTACACTAGTAGAAATGTCAAAAAAAATAAATGACAAAAAAATCGAAATAAATCAAAAAAAAGAAACAAAAACACAACATCTAACGAATAAAATAAAATCAGGTGTATCTTTCGCAAACGCAACAAAAAATGATTCATTAAACATAAATGTAAATAATAAAGACGACGAAACAATTGTAGAAAACGAAATAGAAGAAAAATTAGGAAGCGTACTAGACAAATTCAAAAATGAAATATTAAATTTTTTCTCTTTTGAACTCATTAAAATAAACGAAAAACTCGAAAAAAACATAGAGATGACAAAAGTCACTTGTAAAAAACTAAACATTGAATATGTCTAATACGAACAAAAATTTATCCCAACAAGTACAAAGTAGGCTAAAAATCATAGCTATAAACGTAAACTCGATAATTTCAAATGCGAGACGACAAAGCTTGAGTAATACTCTAAAACAATTAAAACCAGACATAGCTTTAATATCAGAAACTAAATTAAATAAAAGAAATCACTTCACCCTAAAAGACTACAACATAGTGAGAGACGATAGAAATACTAATAATGGGGGGGGAACAGCAATAATAATTAAAAATGATATAAATTTTTCTAAAATAACAATAAAAAATAAGTTTAAAATCCTCGAAGTTTCCGTAATACTAATTAAATTGCCAAGAAACCAAAAACTATACATTATAAGCGCGTATGCTCCCAGAGAATCAAGTAGAAATTTTATAGACGATATCGAAATACTATTTGACAATCTTAAATTACAAGACCAAAATAACTGGTTTATAATAGATGGGGACATGAACGCCAGACACCCCAATTGGTCCGACATTACGAATCATAGAGGATCATACTTAACAAATTGGATTCAGAGTAAAGAATTTATTTTTAGAACAAGTTTATACGGCCCTGAAAAACCAACGTTCCCAAAAAGCAACTCCTACCTAGACATAGCAATCTGTGATAGTAGATTAGAAATTGTTAATCTAAGAGACGAAAAATTAAAAGTATTCCCATACGACAGCGACCACAGAGGAATCTCACTTACAATAGAAATGCCCAATGAACTTACAATTCCTATCGATACTCCTCAAAAGCATGAATTAAATTTTTCAAAAGCAAACTGGGATTCATTTCAAGAATTCCTCACAAAAAACTCAAACCCCATTCCACATAATAAAAATTTAAACAACGAAGAAATCGACTCACACATATTAGATTTTAACAACCTTATTAAAAATGCCACTGAACACGCGATACCCAGATATAAAAAAAACGACTCATTCAAAAAATATTCAACTCCACAAATAGACAACCTACAAAAATTAAAAAGCAAATTAATAACCAATTTATTTAAACTAAAAAAAAAACGGTAAAAACTCGGAAGAAATTGAATGGTATAAATATCTAATAACTGAAAATAATAAAAAAATTAACAAACTCTTCGCGAAATCAATAAGTAATTATTGGAGTGAAAGGATAAGCAGAATAAACGTAAAAAACAACAAAAATTTATTCCCCGAAATCAATAAAATATTTAGATTTAAAGTATCTGAAAAATGCTCAGTGTTAGAAATTCCCCAAAATAAACTTCAAATTATAAATGAAGCCAATATAAACCACAATAATCTTATCAAAAATAATGAAAACAATTTCATAATTGATAAACCCATCGATATATTAAATATAATGGGAGCCCATTTCGCGAGTGTCAATGTTCAAAATCAAAACATGGGCAAACCAGCACTTACAAGAATAATAAATAGACACATAACACAATTAAAAACAAAAATACAAACAGACGAAACTGACTCAAAACAACTAATAGAATTTGACGATACTAACACAGCATTAAATCCCACATTTGACGAAGACAATCACTATTTTTGCAACCCGGAATTATTAATTACAATTTTAAAAGGACTAAAAAATAAAAAATCTTATGGTATTGATGGTATATCAAATATAATGTTAAAACACTTACATTATAACACTATCACTAATCTAACAATTATATTTAATAACATTTTAAATAATGGATATTTTCCTACTTTATGGAAAACAGCCAGAGTGGTCCCTGTAATTAGGAAAAATAAAAAGGGAAATAAAATGGAAGATTATCGTCCAATCAGCCTATTATCTAACACTAGCAAATTATTTGAAATTGTTCTAAATATGAAAATAGCAAAATTTACATATGATAATAATATAATACACGACTCCCAATTCGGATTTAGATATGGACATTCAACAACGCACGCAATCAGCAAGCTCCAATCGGACGTCTGTAAATCTCTTAATGATAAAGAATTCGTTGGAGCTTGTTTGATTGATTTAGAAAAAGCGTTTGACACAGTAAACTTAGACGGGTTATTTTATAAAATGTTAAATAAAAAATATCCATACCACTTATTAAAAATGCTGTGGAATATGCTACACGACAAAAAATTCATGGTAATAAACAGTCAAGGTAAAGCAGGTAACACATTCTTATTAAGAGACGGCTTACAGCAAGGAGCTGTAACATCACCTCTTTTATTTAACATTTTTATTTACGACCTCCTAACTCTATACGGGATTAATACTGACAACAGAAGTAAAGGAATAGCCTTCGCTGACGATCTGATCGTATACAGATCAGGTCGTAACTTAGATAAAGTTAGATCCGAACTCGAAACACTCTTTAGAAATCTGGGAGAGTACTTTCACACTTGGAAACTAAAATGCAACGTTGACAAGTGTGAAACTATTCTCTTCAGACCAAAAGCAAAAGAAATGTGCAACAAATATATCAAAGTATGGCGTGACTTTAAAATTAATTCAAAAAATGGAGACGAAACCCTACAACATAAAAGGTGCGTAAAATATTTGGGAGTATTGGTGGATGAACAATTAAAATTCACTAATCAATTCAAAGCAATGTTAAACAAAGCTAGATCAGCCTTCTTTAGTAACAGCAAACTTTTTTACTCAAAAAAACTAAATAATAAAGTTAAACTACTGTGCTACGTCTTATTAGTCAGACCACACCTAACATACGCATGCCAAAACTGGTATAATCTAAGTGCCGTGCAAATGGAAGAACTCCGTAAATTCGAGAGACAATGTCTAAGAATATGCTTAAATATAATGAGGTCCCCAGAATCTGAATTCAAAAAAAGAACATCCACAAATGTAGTCTACAACAAAGCAAAAATAACAAGATTAGATATATTTATAATAAAATTAATTAGAAATCACATTAAAAAATCGATGAAAATGACTAGTAATAACTACATAAAAAATCTGTATCACAAAAACAAAGAGTATTACTCCAAAGCTATGTCGTCTGGCTACATCCCGCATGAGGCCTTTGTCTTTTTAGATTACAATGGTTATATACAAGATGAAAAAAACATTCCTTATATCTATCACATAAAAAGACACGCAATTGTAAGGACAATCACCTTTAATCCAAGAAATCAATGTAGCTATAATGACGCAGATATTAAATACACATTGAACTTGCCTATTTGTGATAAAAAAGATTCACATCAAAAAAGAAAACAACAATTTGATTGGCTCAACGAGCAATTTTGGAATGATTAATCAAAACTAATTAAAAGAAAAGAAAAGAAAAAAGTGAATAAATAAATTACTTTATTATCAAAATTATTGTTGTTCTCTTTCAACTATTTTATTTTATTTTTATTTTTTTACTTTTCTTAAGTATTTTTATATTAATAATGACAATACCTGTACATACAATCGACGCCTTAAGTAAACAAAAAAAAAAACATAAATATTATAAATTAAATTATATTTAAAAAAAAAACGAAGTTATAAGCACAAATATAACTATATTACTTCGCAATATTTATATGACAGTTTTTTTTTTATTTTTTAGACAGTACACTGTACGTCGAAATTTTTCCTGTCTACCTCACAAATTGTAATCTTATATAAGAAGATATGTGGTAGATCCACTACTACCTAATCTGTTAATGCAAAAAAAAACACTTATTTTAAATAATAGATAAACCTACGAGAGCTCAATCTTCGGGGCCAAGTAAGTTAGGCATATATGTATGTATCAGCCGAATGGTTTATGTACACAACGCTTTATCCATTCCATCACCTGTATATACTTGTAACATAATTGTTTTTTTAAATAAAGTTGTTGTTTAAAAAAAAAAAAAAAAGTGGCTAGGATACCTGGCTTTCACCCAGGAGGCTCGGGTTCGATTCCCGGTATGGGAAATTTTTTTAATTTTTTATTTGAATTTTTTATTTATTTACATTTCTTCTAAATTTATTATAAAATTTTTATTTAGTTGAATTTTTC